AAAAAAAAAAAAAAAAAAAAAGGAAGAAAATGTCCTTGGACAAAGATCTGTTGATTTCTCTCACTACTAACAAGGTCAAGTGCCCACCTTGCCTGCAGGCTCTGACTAATTTAGTGTTTCTGAGCTGTGTAGTATCTGCATCTCTGCTGATAAGCTACTAGTTTCCTGTAGTGCATATGTGTGTATGCAGGCTGTGTGTGCAAAGTTATTCAATAAAAATTTCCTGAATGTTTTCTTGAGAATGTCAGTCACTTTACAAGATGTTGGAGAAAAGATATAAAAGACATGTCACTGCCCTCCTAGAGGTCACCATGTAGTTGGGGGAGAAAATAACCAAGTAAACAAATAAAGCAATGAAAATATGTGCTGTCTGGGAAAGAAATGTGCTCCTATGGTTAATAATAATTGCAGTGATGGAAGGGAATCTACATATACCATTCAGGAGAAGCCTTCCCAAAAAGATGACATCTCACCCGAGATGTGAAGGGTGGGAAGTAACCAACCAAGGAGCTCTCCTCAGCTTGAGGCCAGGTGAGGGGAGTTCTATGGTTGAGATAAGGGGAGGATGGCAGAATACCCAGGAAGCCTGTTGTTATGCTCCTGTTCTCTGCCTGTTCTATCTTTGCAGGGCCCTCCTTCTCTTCCTGCATCTCCACCTGCCAGCTCCACCCACTCCTTCCAGGTGTCAGGTAGAGGAGTCTCCCACCCCATCTGGAGCTGCTTACAGTTCTTTCTTTGCTGCCTACTCCTCTCTTCCTCTTCCTGCAGATCCTCTGGAACCAAGGGGTTGACTTGTGGTGGCATGAACTCATGCAAGAGGCAGGGGATGAGTTTGAGCCAGAGTGGTGTGACGCTGAGGACCCACTCTTCATTCTGTACACCAGTGGCTCCACAGGCAAACCCAAGGTAAGTATGTACGCATGTGCGTCTGCTGGGTAAAGGTGAGAAGTGAGTTTGTGAGGAAGCATGTAATGACAGAAACTTTATTCTATAACCGTAAGTTTCAGATATGTCACATTATCTTTTCTAAATCAAATTAAGACATACATTCTCAATTACTAGATAGGCCCAGGGTGAAACAGGTCAGGTAAGGATTTTCATGGTACCCAGAAAAGGGAGGAAGGGATCATCCGTGTGGCTGACATGGATGTTCCTTTCCCGTTCCCACATGGTTTGATTGAAGGAGAGCTATTCTGTCAACTCAAGGCTAAGGGTGGGCAGGATCCCTCTTTTGCTTCTGAGACCATAACTCAAAGTTCATTTTTTCTATCATGAAACATTGTTAACGTCTAGTCCCCTGCCAGGGCACAGCATGAGAGCTGGAAATGTTTTTAAAAGCTGATTTTTCCATTGACTTGAGAGATTTGAAAACTACGTCACTCTACCTTCTACCCACCCATCCTTAAGTTCTTCTCTCCAAGTGCTTTGGAATATCTCACAGTGGGCCGTTAAAAACACAATTTTGGCCTTTTCTTCATGGGGATAGAGTAAACAAAGTGGATTGTCTTTTTCTGTGTAAGTCACTCTTAATGACACATAGCAAAGATTTGGTGAAGGGGCTAGGGATGTAGCTCAGTGGCACCATGCCTGCCTGGCAAGCGCAAGGTTCTGAGTTCATTTCCCAGTATGGGTGTGGGGGAGCTATGTGAATGTGCTAGGAGTTCATGTGTAAGTGCTGTGGCTGGCTCCAAAATATAATCTTGGCGTGTAGATGGGAATGATGAGCTGATGTATATTTGTGATATTAAGGCTGTGTAGCAGAAGATGAGATGGGAGCACAGAGAAAATAGATAAAAGAGAAACAGATGCTGTGGGAAGGATGACAGCAGGCCAGACTCCCTGAGAAGGGTCTTTCTCCAGCTCTGCCCAACCTCCATTTGTTGATTAGTGGACGTGGGCTGAAGACCCCAATCTGAGGCCCCATTCCTCCCACAGGGTGTGGTACACACAGTTGGGGGCTATATGCTGTACGTGGCTACAACTTTCAAGTATGTGTTTGACTTCCACCCAGAGGATGTGTTTTGGTGCACAGCAGACATTGGTTGGATCACTGGCCATTCCTACATCACCTATGGGCCACTGGCAAATGGTGCCACCAGTGTTTTGGTGAGAAGGGAGCTGAGACTTATGGCTACCTAGCCTACCCGGGGGCGGGGGTGGATAAGTTTGTCCTGGATGAAAAGAGTTGAAGACATCATAGCACAGTGATACATACATACTCACGTTTATAGCAGCAGAATGTGTAACACTTATATATGATGGAGTACTGCTGTTCCATAAAGAAGGATACATTGAGTCATTTGTAGAAAATTGACTATACCTTGAGACCATAATGTTAAGTGAAATAAATCAGACATACAAGTTAAATATCACATAACTGCTCTTATATGAGAAACCCAGAGTATAAATAATTTTTAAAACAAAATAAAAGATAGAAAATAGGAAACAGGGAGATAGATCTTTTGCGAATGAGAAGGGGATCTAAAGATAGAGGGAGACGGGAGAGATGGGAGGGAAAGGGAAATAAAATGAATCAAGAGATGCTAAGTACATGTACCTACTTCTTAAGTTGAATGTAAGCTTTATGTATTACAAACATACTAATAAAAAAATTCAGTCCTGAGTCACACTACAGGAAAAAAAAAAAAAAAAAAAAAAAAGATTATCCTGTGTGACTAGCTCTCTGGCCTACTTAGTCTGCTTAAGACCTGGAGAAAGAAGAATTTTGAGGGGATTATGTGTCCTGACAGAAAAGTCTCTGGTCAGGGAGTCAAAACATGGGTTGGTCAGAAAAGGCAAAATACAGAAACTGAGGTAATGGTAAGGGACTGGAGGGGCTATTGAGAAGGACCAGAAATGACCAGCTTTCACTGGGGTCAGTTTGAGGGGATCCCCACATACCCAGATGTGAGCCGCCTGTGGAGCATCGTGGACAAATACAAGGTGACCAAGTTCTACACAGCACCCACAGCCATCCGTCTGCTCATGAAGTTTGGAGATGAGCCTGTCACCAAGTGAGACCCTTTCCCAGTTGCTTCCCTCATGGGTGTTCTTCAGGGGTGGGTGCTTCCCTTTGTATAGTTTCCTTTTAGTGTCCTGAGTCTCATACCTGGAATAGGCGAGAGAGCACAAGAAGGGCCTGTGGCTCTCAGTGGTGCTCAGAACTCTCCTCTCTCCTACTCCTCTGCCGAAGGCATAGCCTGGCATCCTTGCAGGTTCTAGGTACAGTGGGTGAACCCATCAACCCTGAAGCCTGGCTGTGGTACCACCGGGTGGTAGGTGCCCAGCGCTGCCCCATTGTGGACACCTTCTGGCAAACAGAGACAGTGAGTAAGAGGTTCAAAAGGCTGGGACTCAGAGATAGAATGGAAAGACCAACTCAAAACCCTGATCTCTGCTTTCCACAGGGTGGCCACATGCTGACCCCCCTCCCTGGCGCTACACCCATGAAACCTGGCTCTGCTGTGAGTGCCCTGAAATATGTATGAGCACTGCTGGTCCTGGGCTTGACAGGGGAAGGATCTTGGGGCATTTGGCCTACTGGAGAGTTGGATACTAAGCTAATTATGTCTAAGGAATTTGGGGCACTGGGATGCCTTGGAAGTTGAATCAGAGTTGCCTCATTCCTCTTTTTGGGTTCTCTCTCCCTTCTGCTTTTAGTCCTTTCCATTCTTTGGTGTAGCTCCTGCAATCCTGAGTGAGTCTGGAGAAGAGTTGGAAGGTGAAGCCGAAGGTTATCTGGTGAGTCCTGACCTTGGTGGTCTTTTAGCAGAAGGGATAGGGTCTTCTTGGGTACTCTGACTAAGAGTTTATAACCTAATCTTTCTAAGTAGTTGTTTAGGACTGAAGCTCTACAGTTGGGGGACTGTCCTCTGCTGAGACCTCAGGGGAAACCTTTGCCTGTATCTCTGCCTTTTGATGCATAAGGTTCTTAAGGGCCTTTAAAAAATCTGTTCAGAGATTCATGATGGCACTTTTTTGGGTCAGAAAACTTAGCTCCAATTCTTCCTTTGATGGACACTGTCAAGAAAGGAAGTTTCATAACATAGAGGACAATCACATAGGCACTGGCGTTAGACTGCCTTGGTTCAAATCCTGGCTCTGCCTCTTCTATGACATCAGATAAAAGTTACCTAATACATTTGAATCTAAATCAATCCCCCTGTCCTTCCCCTTCTCCCTCTCCTGGATTTTGCTGTGAGGCTGGCCCTGAATTGACTGCTGTAGCGTAGGCTGGCTTTGAACTCATGGTAATTCTCCTGCCTGAGTCTCCGGAGTGCTGGGATCACGGGCATGTGCCAAGTCACCACGCCCAGCTCAATTTTCTCATTTGTAAAACTGAGCTATAATAGTACTTTTGACTCTTAGGATTGCTTACTTAAATTAGATAATCCATGCAAAGGGATTAGTAGAGAGCATCAAAGTTATCATTCAATTAATGTTAGCTAATTTTTGTTATATTTGTAAGGATCTTACTAACCCTGCCCTTTAGACCCCGGCACATTTCACTTTCCCAAGAGCAAGTTAGTAACGGGTAAAACATGAAGCCAGTTCTTTTGACTCTTAACTATAATTCCATCTATCCCATCTATCTACTGCCACAGAACAATTCCGATTGTTGGGCAATACTTATTTACTCATGTGTGGGGTCCCCCCTCCTTTTTTTGGTATTGCTGGGAAGCAAACCCAGGGCACTGTGCTACTGAGCTATATTCCTCTTAGCTCAGTCCCACTTTTTTTTTTTTAAGCAGAAAGTCTAGCTTTGAACTCATTATGTAGCCCAAACTGCCCTTGAACTTGTGGCAACCCCCCTGCCTCAGCCTCCTAAGTGCGGGGATCACAGGTGTCCACCACCACACCTGGCTTAGTCTCACTTCTTTATATGATTGTTTTCATTTGCATTAAACTGGGTCTGATTTCCTGAAGGAAGACCCAAAAGAAGACTTACATGTATTAAATGTTTTATCACTAACACAACACTGTGCTAGGCAATTTCCCCTCACAATAACTTTACAGAATAGAAATCGTTTGCTCTGACTTACAGATGAGGATCCTAAAGCTCAGCAAAGAAAAGTTACTTACCTGAGGTCTCATAGCTACTAGATGGCAGAGTTAGGATTCCAAGCTACGATCATCCTTCTCAAAACCTGTATTTGTCTTGCTTCTCAGGAATGTCATTTAGGGTATTTCCTCAGGGTTAGTAGAGCTATGACAGTCTTCCTGTGAGAGACCTAGCAGGTGTAATCACTGTGCCTTCCTCACTCCCCAGGTGTTCAAACAGCCCTGGCCAGGGATCATGCGCACAGTTTATGGGAACCACCCACGCTTTGAGACCACCTACTTTAAGAAGTTTCCCGGTTACTACGTGACAGGAGATGGTGAGCACCCCCTGCAAGGCCTCCCAGTGAGACATGCACCTTCATCATCTTCCATTTTTGGAGGAGTTGGTTGGGAATGAAGAAGCACAGTAAAGAAACACATTTTACATGTCAGTGTGTGGTATCCAGGCAGAGCTACAGAGAAGACTGTGAGTAGGAATGAATGTTGCAGGCAAGTATGGTGCCATCTGAGATTAGTTAATGAGGGAAAGGATTCTTGTTTCTCACTCGTGTATTTACAGAGATGGAACATGTAGCAGTATTATTGTATCATGTGTGTCCTCATGTTTGGAGGCTGTTTGGTCATCTGTCTGCCTACCAGCCCATTCATCCATAAATATTATTGAGCACCTATAATGCCCAGGTACTGGTGAATAAGCATGTAGGATATTACTATGGATAACACTTAAAGTTTCTGCTCTTCGGGGTTTACATTCTAGTAAGGAGGGGACGGACAATAACCCTAGCAAACAAATAAATACATTTATCTTAGGTAGAGATAAGTGTGTGAAAAGATAATGTGATAAAGAAGTCAGGTGTGGTGTGTGTACACCCCTGTAATCCCAGCACTCAGGAAGATATGGCAGGAGAAACACAAGTTCAAGCCCAAAATGGGCCATTTAGTGATTTAGCAAGGCTCTGTCTCAAAATAAGGACTAAAAAAGGGCTGGGCCTGTAGTCCAATGTGAAGGCCCTGGGTTCAGTCTAGTATGACAAAACAACAACAATGTGACAGTGTCTTCAGAGATAGCTACTTTACGCAGGATGATCAAAATATGCTTCTCTCTGGTGACGCGGGAGCAGAGACCTGGGGGACGAGAAGAAACCAGGCATGGGGAACTCTAGAGTAGAGAGCAGCAGGACATGAAATATGTGAAGAATGGAATGAAGCCTGTTTGGCTGGAGTGTAGTATGCACAGGGGAGAATACATGACGCTGGAAAGGCAGACAATGTAGGGTCTGATGGGCCAATGTGTGCAGTTCGGTTTTATTCAAAGTAACAGTTGAGCTGGGCGTGGTGGTGCACACCTGTAATCCCAGCACTCGGGAGGCTGAGGCAGGAGGACTGCTGTGAGTTCGAGACCAGCCTGGGCTACATAGTGAGTTCCATGTCAGTCTCAACTACATAGTGAGACCCTGTCTCAAAGAACAACAACAACAACAAAAAACCAAACAAACAAGGTAACAGTTGAAAACCTTTATGGGTTTTAAGCAAAGGAGTGATTAAGAATTAATTTACGATTTAGAAAATAACTGAATTATGAAAGGTAGGTTTGAGATACTGACATGGAAAAAGATACCACTGAAATTGGCAGCTTAAAACAACAAATATATTATCTCAGTTTCCGAGGGTCAGGGTCTGTAAACAGTTAAGCTGCATGTTAGAGTATATCCTGGACTGCAGTCAGGCTGTTGGTAGGGGCTGTTTCATGGAGCCTGGAGGATCCACTTCCTCACTCACTCATATGACTGTTAGAGGAGCCCTCAGTTCCTCACTACCTGTGCCTCTCCATAGGGCTACTCATAATATGGACACCAGAGTGTCTTCTCTAACCTAATCTGAGAAGTAACATCCCATTATTTCTTCCAAATTCTGTTGATCACACAGACTAGTCCTAAATAAGAAGAGAATTATAGCTTCCTGGCTGTACATGCCAGGAAGTGGAGATCAGAGTAGCTGTCTTGGAGGCTGGCTGCCATAGTGGGCAAGAATGGTAGCAGGAAGACATATTATATCCTACTGTGGGATATTTACTATGTTGTGCATTTCTTCCCAGGATGCCGGCGGGACCAGGATGGCTATTATTGGATCACTGGCAGGATTGACGACATGCTCAATGTATCTGGTAAGGACCCCTTCCCATCGCATTTGCTCTGTTCCCTGGCAACTCTCCACCAAAGCCTTCTGAGTGTCAAGACTGTCCTTTGGTTAGACCACATGTGGAAGGTGGCCTTTGGTTCTGGACCCAGGTCTCGGAGGAAGAGTGATGAACACTGAAATGTACCTAAAAGAGGGGGCCCAGGGTGGGAAGGTATTGGAAAACATGCCATGTGAGAAGTGGATGAAAGGCCTTCCCCATTTGAACTAGGCAAGCTCTCCTTTATGGGTACAGATGGAATAAGGGCTGGGAAATCTTTTATGGCATTTCCTTTCTTTTGACCAGGACACCTGCTGAGTACAGCAGAGGTGGAGTCAGCACTTGTGGAACATGAAGCTATTGCAGAGGCGGCTGTGGTGAGCCACCCTCATCCTGTGAAGGGCGAATGCCTCTACTGTTTTGTCACCCTGTGTGATGGCCACACTTTCAGTCCCACCCTCACTGAAGAGCTCAAGAAGCAAAGTGAGTCCCTGGAAGGGACTGAGGGGTCTGCAAGTTGGTGGGAAGGAGCTACAGTGAACTATTCTCCAAACCATGAACAGACCCCAGGGGGTCCCACGGGATGACTGATTTCTTTTATTCAGTTCCCACTGCTAGTCTCTCCACTAGGATAATAACAGCCAGTGGGCTAGGGATATAGCTCAGAGGTAGAGTGCATGCCTACTATGCACAAGGACCTGAGTCTGATCCCCAGCATGGCAAAGGAAAAAAAAGGCAACATTTATAGAATACTTTCTCTGTACCACCAAAGGGCTCAGTGCTTTAAATGTATTACCCCATTTAATCCTTATAATCACTTCCATAAACAGATCCTCTTGTTACTCTAGTTCCTAAAGAGGAAAAAATTTCATTTACGGAAAAGTTAAACCACTTGCCCAATGCTACCTAAAGTCTAGCAGTCTGGTTTTGGAGCCAGAATTCATGAACCTGGGTTAAAATAAGAGGGTGAAGAGAATGCATTAAAAGAGAGGCGGTATGGGGAACAAAGCTCTCTCTACTTTGGCTTTTGGAGTCAGGCTAAAGGTGCTAAAGAAATGTTTAATGATTTGTTGGTTACAGTTAGAGAAAAGATTGGCCCCATTGCTACACCAGACTACATCCAGAATGCACCTGGCTTGCCTAAAACGCGTTCAGGTATGTTCAGAGGCCTGCAGGTACTGAGGTTGGCTAAGTGGTGGTGAAGTGTGTGGATCTTTGAAAGAGCTGGTGTGGGTCAGTGCTGTCACCAAGTAACCAGAGGCCTGTGGTCTCACAGGTAAAATTATGAGGCGAGTGCTTCGGAAGATTGCTCAGAATGACCACGACCTGGGGGACACATCAACAGTGGCTGACCCATCTGTCATCAGTCACCTCTTCAACCACCGCTGCCTGACCATCTAGTGAACAAGACTCTGTTCTTTACCCAGGGTTCTCCTTGCCTGGTTTTCCAGAGTTCTCCCCATCCTTCTTGCCCCCCCATCCAGGAGTACTGAAGGCCAGTGCTGGCCCCTACTCTGTCCCTGAATGGAGAGTTTTTCTGTGACTTCCAGGCAGAAGGGACAAGGACCAGGTCAGCCCGGACTGATATAGGCCCAGATTGCAAAGAGCTTGCCAAGCCCAGAAGAGGAACCTGAATGCCATGTCCCCAAACCAGATTAGGTATTCAGAGGGCAAGTAAGGGCCTAGACTGAAGCAGGGGGACAACCTTGTAATCCTCAGTCAGTTCTCACAGGAAGTACCAGTACTTATCTTAAGCATGCATTTGCCTTAGAAATGACGTTTGTAAATCCAGAAATAATAATTATTTTTAAAAATTTTGTTACTTCTGTTCTGAGACTGAAATCCCTGCCAGATGGCCATCATGGCTGCCCGTGTGCTCTAGAGGCTATGTCTTGAGGGATTTCAGATCATTGACTTCTTTGAAGGAGTACTTCTGCTTTGTTCCTTGGACCAGAGGAGCTCGTCTTGTCCTATTCTCTCCCACCTGCCGCCAGGGACAGAGCCCTGCCCATGACAGACACTCTCAGGTGAAACTCTGTTTCCCAAGACATGCTTAAGCCTCATGGTTGTAGGAATAAACTCTGTGATCTTGAGAAGATTATGACTGGTTTTCTTAGGTATCTTTCAAGTTATGCCTCTGATGTGTGCAGCGTACTGGAAGGGGAGTGGTATTTCCCAGTACTATCCTAATATCTTTTAGAACTTTTGGTTTGGATAGAGCTAGGCAGGGCTTCACTTAGGGACTTCAGTAAGTCTCCAAACTAAGTAAGAGTGACTGAAGCTAGTTTACAACCAATCATAGTTGCCTTCCTACCTGGGCTCCTGTGAGGGACCCTCTCTCCTCCCTATAAGCCTGTGAGAGCGTAAGTGGATGATAAGGGCTGGAGTTTCAGGGTCCCATCCATAGGCTCAAGGTCTAAGGAGACCGATTATAGCTCAGTTACCTTCCCTGCTCCAGTCCATCTTTTGTGGGCTGACCTAGATCCTAACACTCCCCAACCTCTGTACACAAAGCAACAAATCATGGAATCAGCAATGTAGTTTTATTTAAGGCAGATCTAGGGAAAGGCTATGCCCCTGTACTCTCCTCCTCCTACTACTTGGTCATATCCCAAGTCAGGCACTAAAACTTGCTGGAAAGACTGATGAGGGGCCAACAGGAGGGTGGCAGAGTTTATGTCAAAGGAGCTTCACTTCCCACACCCAAAGGATTTGGGGAAACACAACTTTCTCATCTTCAGATGGAGAACTGAAGCATTTACCATTCCCTGAAGATCCTGGAGGTCTTGGAAGAGACCAGCCCTCCTAAGATGGAAGGAGGACAACCCCTCGGGAGGGTTAGGAGAGGAATGACAAGGGTAGGGGATAAAAGGTCTCTTGAGTGAAGTCCAGGCTAGTCGGGCTGTGTCCTCACACAGGGTATGGGTTGTCCAGGACTGCGACTCCTGCTGCCACACCACCGTCAGCATGTTCGATGGCTTTGGTTCGAAGTAGATGCCCCACATGCTTGTTCACCACAAGTGTCTTTCCCTGCCTATAGAAATGGGGTCGGGAGGCATACAACATCACCAAACCCAGAATGAGACCTTCCCTGGTCCCAGGTGAGCAGTACAAGGGTAAATGACTATACCTAAGAAAAGTGCTAGGATTTTAGTTGGATTTGGGTTTGTTTCCTAGCCAGAAAACTACGACTGTAGCTCTATGTCTATGAGAAAGTTCCTTAGCCTTTCCAATAACAATTTTCTCAGCTTAAAACTGAGATAATATCCTTTACTTTAAGAAATGGTCATGAGGATTAAATAAAGCAGGAAGAGCTGGGCATTGTGGTGCATGCCTTTAATCATAGCACTGGGGAGGCTGAAGTAGGAGGATTCTCATGAGTTTGAGGCCAGGCTGGACTACATAGTGAGTTCAAGGCCAATCTGAACTAGATAGTGACACCCTATCTTGAAAGGAAGGAAGGAAGAAGGGAGGGAAAGAGAAGAGGGAGAGAGAAAGGAAGGAGAAAGAGAGAAACAGAAGGAAGAAAGCAAGCAAGCAAGCAGGAAAAGCTCTTAGCATGATCCAGTCTCACTTTCATGTCTTGAGCTATAAATTTCTTTCTTGACCTCTCAAGATGACTGTGGTAGTGGTGGAAGTGAGGGAAAGTGGCAGGCAAATGGCTTGGGGGGGAGATATAGTGAAGGCAGGCTCTAGAAGGAAGCATGGCAGCATCTGGTATCCCCACTTCGCCCTGACCTTGAAGTATTTTGCAGGAGGTGGCATGAGTTCCTTACAAATTCCCACGTCCTCTTTCTGATTCTTAGTGGTTAAATCCAAAGAGCTACTTAGTTCTTCAAGTCATCAAGTATCATCTATTGGACCCATCTCACTTTTCTCCAGAATCCCCAGTGGCCTTGAAGCTGGATCCAAACTCTCTTCCTCCCTGGAATCTCCTAGTCCTGACTATCTTTTCCCATTTGTCTTGATACAAAGAGAAATGTTGCAAAGCACTTTTTGCCTGGGTGTTACTTGATAGCCATGGAATAGCCATGGAAGGTGGGCAGCTCCTGGGTTCTTAACCTTATTTACTAGGCACGAGTAACAAAGCTGGGGATTAGCAGAGCTAGCTCTGAAGCCCAGGATTCCTAATTGTCCAGGGGTCCCTCTAAGTTTGCTTGACTGGCACTCTTGCAGGAAGGTAGTAGAAAAAGCTCCTCCTGATTTACCTGACATAGACTCCGAAGATACCCAGCTCTGAGATGCACTGGACCACTCTGGCAGGACTGCCAGGCCGTAGCAGGCAATTCCCAAAAGGCTCAGGTTCAATCTTCTCCATGAGGATGTAGGAGGCCCTCTCCTCGATGTCCTTCAGCTGCACCAGGGCCTGTACCATTTCCTCCCCATACAGGTTGTTACCTGCAATTAAACTAACCAGTCTGTGGTCCGTGCCGTCATAACCCTAGCCTAAGCTTGTACATAGCTCTCCTGAGCAGCTGTACCAGCTTCTTCCATGATCTCTGCCACCAATGTCTCCCTCGTTCCAGGAAATCTGTACCGATTGAAACACTAAGTTTTGCAAGTCCTCACCATTGCTAACAACTTGAATCCTGGGTCAATAATCCTGTGTCTCTTCCCGTAAAACTCTAATTTAGTCTTCCCACTACCCTTAGGATAGACCTGAATATGTTTGCTAACATATATTTGCTGCCACCTCAGTACCAGGCGTTGACCCCAGCACATTCACACAACTACATATCCAGCCCTTTTTTATTCTGAGCAGGGTCTGGCTAAGTTGCTCAAGATGGGCTCGAATTTACAATCTTTCTGCCCCAGCCTCCGGGAATGCTCAGATTACAGGCATGCACCCCCAAATCTGGCTTCAATTCCCTTCATAATTAGGTTCCAGACTATCTCTCCATGCCGGGCATAGTGGGGCACACCTGTAATCTCAGCACGCAGCAGGCTGAGGCAGGAGGATTGCTGCAAGTTTAAGGCCAGCCTAAACAACATAGTGAGACCCTGTCTCGTAAAACCAAAACCAAACACATCTTTCCCAGCCCAAATTTCTGCCTCCTGCTATCTCCAACTCTAGTCTCACCAGTTTCTCATTAATCTCCATACACCATGCGTGGCACCATGCCTTTGCTTGGGGTTATCCCTCTGTTTAGAGTGCTTTTCTTCCTTTTCTGCCTGCGAAACTCCTACCCATCTCTTAAGACCCAGATCAAAAACAACAACAACAACAAAAACAAAAAGACTCAGATCAAAAATCACCTCCTGTGAGTCTACAAAGCAAACATGATCCCTGTTCTCAAAAAGTTTAGAATTAGCGGGAAGGTAGATGTGTTCCTTCAGACCTCCTAGTGTACCCATACCCCACTTCCCTGCAGTCTACCCACAGGCATCTCAGACTAAAATTATTTAAACCCTGCAGTGCCGGTTATTCAGACTCCCTGTGTTCCACAGCGACTGGTCACAGGGTCTTGAGGAACACTGTCCAAGGTGGAACCTTTGTCACTTTCTTTTGTATCTGCCAAGCCTGAGTCTGTATCCATACCAAGTGCCAGTGAACACTGGTGATAACCTGCTATCTTCTTTCACTGCAGAAGGGATTCGCCTACCTCCACCCTCTCTCTGGGGCTTTAGCACAAACCGGCTTGGAGCAGCAAGGGCCTCAGCAATGGCCTGGTCCCCTTCTTCACCCTGGCAGAAGACAAAAAGTAGTCACCAGTAGTCTTAAGGTTAAAGAGGCAGCAAAGGTCCTTCTTGGCCATGCACAGCAGCATCGGAGAAAGAGCAGGAGGGGAACAGCCATAAGCTCCCTCAGGCCAGGCCCTTCTATGTGGATGTGACGCCCCCCCACCCCCAGCCAAACCCTTGTGACAGTAAATGCACAAACAGGCCTTTCTCTGGCACACGGGTCTTTGCAGCAGGTGACCTAAAGAATGGGTTCAGATTCCCCAATTCTTGCTATTTGTCTTAGTCCCTTCCCCTCATTGCCACCCCCCTCTCCACCTTTGCTGAGGGAACTTACAGTACATTCCAGCCCTGAGGCTGCCCTGTCTCCAAGGCTCTGGGTGGGGGTTCCCTAGAGCAGCACTGACCCTAGTCACAAAGCCAACCATAATTCCAGCTCCACCTTCCCCAATACAATGGGCTCCAGGTCTCTGCCTCCTTGGAGGCTGGTGGTAGGAAAAAAATGGGCTGCTTATGTACCATGTCCAGTGAGTAGAGACCAGCAAAAGTGGCACGGAGTCTGGCCACAGCCTCGGGCTGGCCAGGGAGCAGCGCCTCCAGCACGCCCACTCTGCTCAGCTCCTGCTGCACCTTCTTAGTCCCAGCCAGCTGGGTGGCAATGTCTGGGCACTTGACAGCACATGACCTCTCCAGCAGTAGGCGTGCTTCCCAGTTCTGCAGAGGGAAGAGGAAAGATTTGTTTTTCTTTTTCTTATTCTAATTGACTTACTGAGCATCCGTCAGGCGCCAGGTATTGTGCTTTTTAATCTTCACATTGATTTTCTTCCAGGATCACTGCAATATCCTTGGAGTCAGGTGTGAATGTGCAAGAGTCTTGTCGTTAGGGAACTCATAATTTAACACACTGATACATGACCACAAGTAAAGGGAAAATGACAAAAGAGGAAAAGACCTTCTGTAAGGGTAAAGAAAAATTGATCATGAGGTTTCATGAGCATGGGGTACTTGTTTATGAGCTTAGCTTCCTACTGTATTCCAAATAAAATTCTATACTCCAATCTCTGGCTTCTCCTCAAATTGTGTATCTTCTGTTTTTTACCAAATAAAATCCAAATTCCAGTCAATGGCCTGCAAGACCATGCAGGATCTGGCTCCTGTCTTATGTTTTCAATCTAAATCTATGTTGCCACTACCATCCACCCCGAGCCTCCTGATTCCGACGTTCTAGCCACACAGGCCCATCATTCCTGAAATACATAAACCTCAATTCCTCAGGACCTTTGCATTTGCTGTTTTCTCTTTGCCTGAAATGATCTTTGGTTTGGCTTTTCCCACAGATGGTGACATCCCTTTCATCCTTACATCTTGGCTTAGTCACCTTTGCAGAGAAGCCTTCCCTGACCACTCTGTTTAATGCGGGTTTCCACATAATTCTCTAGCTTTTCACCCTACTTCATTTAAAGCAATTATACCTCCCCTAGGGGAAATATTTTTAAATTTTTATTTACTCTCTGATGCCCATCTCCCTGAGCAGACTGGACCTCTGTTGTTCATCTTATTTTCCCTGGTGTCTAATGAAGTTCCTGGAACTTGGTAGGAGGTCAATAAGTATGTTATTATTACTGAGTGAAGTGACTTCTGAGTAGTATCTCAATAGGCAGAGCCTGACAGGTGAGAATCAACAGAGAAATATGAATGAGTTGGGTGTGCCTATAATCTTAGCACTTGGGAAACTGAGGCAGGAGGATCTCTGTGAATTTGAGGCCAGCCTAGGCTACATAGTTCAAGAACAGTCTGAACTGTCTCAAAAAACAAAAACACACAAAACAAACCACACACACACACACACACACACACGAAGACCCTGAAGACAAATGGTCTGTTGTGCCAGCAGCTTAGGACATAAAAAGCAGGGAAACAACAGAGGATCATGCCTCCCAGGTCTAGTCCCCATTCTCAAGCATGAGGAGGCAGTCTGTCTTTGGCTCCAGATCAAAGCTGGCTGTAAACAGCAGGATCAAGGCAAAAGCCTGAGGAGCAACACTGGCTCTGGCCTAATGTTGACCTGTAGCACCTTTACCTGATTTTCACCAACAATCATTCACCTACCCATTAATCTGTTGCTCCAGGCAGAGTCACAGGAGCCCCTAATATGAGATAAACCTAGAGAAGTATTCCATTATGTCAGAAGGAAGGAAAGCAAAACCCAAACACAAGCAGAGACTTGCCCAGGGTCACTTAGCAGTTACTAAGCCTTGTAAATCTACAGAGGACCCTTGACTCACGAACTCAATTCATTCCCGAGGGCTGGTTCTAACTCAGGTTGGTCAACCGAAGGCTCAGGCTCCTCTACACAGCCTTCGAAGTCTCTCTCCTGTGTACAGACAGAACTGAGTGTCCTTGGAGAGACACTGGCCCAGGGTTTCTCAATTAACCCCACACAGGAAAGGATGTCGTAATGCTCCTTCCAGAACTCTAAGTGTTAAATCTGTATCTGAGACCATCTGGAAGCATAAGTGGCTGGCATTCGGGTCATAACTCAAGATTCTGCTCATAAGTTAAAACTAAGATTCCAGTCATAACACAAGTTGTTCATGTCAGGCTATTTGTAACTCAAGGGTCCACTGTATTTCCATGTTCTAAATCTAATTTGAGCTTCTCAGTTCCCTAAAAATGTCCATGTCCTTATATGTACTACTCTTCTTCTCTGCTAGCTTCTCCTAAGTTTTCTTTGACCCCTTCCCCTATCCTCTCTCCTGAAGCTTGGATCCATTTTCCCAATGGACAGTTTCTCCCTTTGCCCAGCACTGCCAACTGCTTCTCTAGACAAAAGAACCTTCCACAGAGCTACCACCTCTGTATCACATTCCTAAAGAGCTTACCCGGGGGCACACTTCTCGATGACGTGCAGACCTGGAAGTAGTTCTCTCCATTTTCTAGTGCAGCTCCTGCTCTCAGAAACTGAGACCAAGAGGCAGAGTCAGGCTCGTGACCCTAGCCCACTGCCCTTGGTATTTCCTAGCTTATTTCTTCCTTTACCTTCTCGCAAGTGAAACCAGGCTTCTTAGCTTCTGGTGTGGACACTAAGAGTAGGGGAAAAGAATGGTATATTGGGAATACCATCAGCCTGAGAGCTAGAAAGCCTGAGAACTTCCTGTGGGACCTTAGACAAGCCTCTGTAGCACTCCAAACTTCAGTTTCCCCATCTTTATAATGGAGACAATTATACGCCTCTCAGGGTGGTTGTAAGAGTTAAATGCAATAATAGATGTGAAAAGTAATTCTGAAACTCTATGATAGGATAGCAAGATCAGAAGATATCATCACTGCCATATACTTGAATGAACAGAAAATAAAGACTCTGGCAAAGAGGAAGAAAGTGGTCAGTGGTGTGCTAGAATTAACTTGCATCAGTTGGCAAGGGCTGAGTGCACCCGGCTCTTCCCAACTCTGTGCTCAGAGATGTTAAGTAGGGTGGCTCAAAATTACATGACAGAGGGCCAGAGATTTAGCTCAGTGGTTCTGCCACCTGCCTCACAAGCACAAGGTCCCAAGTTCAATCCCCAGTTTTACACACACACACACACACACACACACACACACAATTACATGACAGAAATCAAGAAATGCTATAAAATGGGGTTCTTCTCCCTAGAAAAATGCCTGTTAAACATTTGCCAGCCTACCTCTGGAATATGTGTGAATGGTTAATACTGTGGATTCCTGAGGATTCAGATTCTAGAAGACAGTGTGTTTACAGAGAGGTAACAAAAGCTTGTAGGAGGAGAGGAGGTTCCAGCAGCAAGTTCCCTGAGGAAGAACTGAAGTTATTCAGAGAAAACCCTAGTTGTTGTGATACTTGAGCTGGGTCTCTGTGGAGCTCTGCTGGGTCCCAGGAGGCAAAGAATGATCTAGCAGAAAATACCAACCTTTATGCTGTACTGACTGGGCATGTAGCCATCCCTGAAGTAAACCACAGCAACTTCCTGGCCATCCCTAGAACACAGAATGGAAAAATCTGCTGTGTTAAATTATAACTGATGTGTTCAGGGCACCAAAATATGTTTTGTTTTTTTGAAAGGTATCTCACAGGAGGACTTGGGATCGAAGTTCACTAAGAGTAAAAAAGTTAATGCCCTTATCACCAGTACGTGCATTAAAAACACACAGGTATGCAGTATTGGAATGGTTTAGAATATTTTAAATCTAGAGTCACTCTCAAAAAACCAGAAGGAAATAATATAACACAGAATCACAGGTAAATTTTTAGATGTGGATTTAAAATTACCAATTATATTGCCCTGCCTTGGCAAAACAAACTTCTGTTTCCACAGCTTAAATTAGCTGACACAAGGTGAAGATTTCTATTAGCAATATCTCTCCCCCTCCCCACAACTGGACATTGAACTCAGGGCCTTGGCACTGAGCTGTATCACCAGAGCTTTCTTATTTTGCACCAGGATCTTGCGAAGTTGCTAAATTGCCCAGGCTGGGCTTGAACTGGTGATCCTCCTGCCTCAGCCTCCCAGAGTACTGAAGATCACAACTGTGTGCCACCGTGTCCAGCTCAAGCTAAGATTTCTTACAATGCAAAGGTGGGGGGTGAGGAATGCAAAAATATGAGTCTAGTTAAGATACAAGTTTTTTAAACTTTCTTTGACCTATTTTATATTGCCTAGTTCATTTGCAAGGTAAACTACTTTGTCTTGTTAGGATAAAAGCACATTTTGAAACATAGTAAGTGGTATTTTGAAATTCCGTGGACATTCTTAACTTTAACAATCACGAAGTCCCAAGTCTAAATATGTACACTGAAATGCTACCCAAATTGATAGCCCTCAAGCTACCTGGTGGCAGCTCCTGGAGAAAAAGGTAGGGCCTGGTTTAGATGACAAATCCAGGCCTGCGGTCAGACTGGCATTCAGATCAACCAGGGAATGAGCCAGCTGCCCCTTCACCTCCTAATTACCCAGTTTAACGGCTTGTGTTTAACTTGACAAGCCACAAAGAGGAGCAAGACAATTTGTGTGGAGCTCAGGAGCACATGAAAACAGAGGTTATCTTTGAAGATGATGCCCTTCTCCAGAATGTCAGTGGCTCTGATACAACCCTTTAGAAGCACAGTTTGGGTGGCTTTCTCTGAAATTTCCAGGAGGATAAGATATTTCAGAAATTAGGAGAGAAGAAACCAAGCTGTCCCAGCTCCCAGAAGAAAAGATCATTTGGGGAAAGAAGGTGGCAGGAGAGTTTTATAAACCAGACAGTAGTGGGTGCTTGGGAATGCTTACATAAACAGCCTCCGGTCTTGGTCCAGAGACCCCTTCTCAGAGACATCTTCAAATCTTTGCCGGATTACATGGATGTTCCTGGGAAAATGAACAAGAGGCAAAGGGAGTGGATCCCATGTTCTGAGTGTGCCCCTGCCCCTGGCACACCATACCTGGAAGTCTTCCGCCTTTACTTACCTGGCCAGTAGCTCATTTTCTATGGCACGCTGGTCAAATATGTTCCTTTCCTTCTCTTGAGCAATCAGAAGCACCACAGCACTGGAGAAAAAGCACAGCTTGTCCTTCCTTTGTCTCACCCTCTTCAGAAATAAGAGAACACAGCTTCCCAGAAAGACCAGAGGGTCGCTCAACTCAAGGTTGTCTCAAGTATAGACACCTGAGGCTATAGCACATTATTTTCTGAAAATAGGAAATTTGGAAAAAATGGAACTATCTCTGTACCTTCTCCAATGAGTAAATGAAACATTGTAGTTATGTCAATTTTCTGTGCAAATTAAAATTTAGATTTAAAGACATCTCATGACCCCCAAAGGATTTTTTTCTTAGAACTTAATGATTCCATGTCTGAAATGATTTCCTTGTCTGGAAGAATAAACAAGTGGGACTATAGAAGAATTTGAAATATTTGAAAATCAAGAAATATTTGCACTAGACATGGTGGTACACAATCTTAGGACTTTGGGAGTCTGAGGCTCATTTTGTTTTGGGTTTTTGTGGACAGGATCTTGCTATATAGTTCAGGCTGGCATGGAATCCACTGTAGAGCCCATGCTGGCCTTGAACTTAGGTGATCCTCCTGCCTCAGCTTCTTGAGTACTGGAATTACTGATGTGTGTTACCATGCCTAGTCCTCAATTAAGCTATTTTAAATGTCAAAGGTAAATCCAGTTTCTCACCAGATTTCTAAGGGCAATGCTTGCCAAACTCATTTTTGTACTGCTTTATGCTTGTGGCCTCTTTCTAAGACCTTTTAGAAAGCTCAGACTTTGGCTTAGGATGCTAAGTGTCTGTTTCTGACCTCCAATACTCAGACTCCTCTCTGTCTTTGCTTCTCCCTACGTAGGCTGCACCTCTTTTATTAAACTGTTTGCCTGACTTCTTTCCACTTGGCCAAAATACAGGCCTTAGCATGTCCCCTCTGCCAGGCTGCTTGAAATCTCATGAGGTCAGATGTGAATCCGTATTGGAGCTTGGCATCTGAGAGACAAGCTAGAAGCGGTGCTATCCTAAGTCATCTTGTCCTGAGAGCCAAAGGCCTTGGCTCTTCATTTTGCAGCCTGAACTGCTCTACTCATGGGTTACTGTGTAGGAGGGTGGCACCCGGCCCAGGCTGGTCCACTTCCAAACAGAGGTGGAGGAGGAAGGCTGGAGGCTATAGGTTTAAAGAGAATTTCATGCTTCGGCTTATTAAGTCAGCTTGCCACCTACTAAACAATACGAGCCAGACCCAGAAAACATATTTGACCTCCTCCTGCCTTCAGTGCTGAGCAGTATGAACTGAGAAGGACTGGAAGAGCGATGAAGCAGCAGGAACACGCCTACTGAGAGAGAGGACCCCTGAGTGCCAGTTGTGGCTCTGCTCTTGTTCTCCTTAAGCAAGGTGGTTTTTCTCCCAGGGCCCTGATTTTCCTATCCATGCAGTAAGGGTGTTAATTAGTTCATAGTTCTTAACCTTTTAGCACCAAGAGTCCCTTTTTCTTATTCTACTCATTCCAACCCCAAGACTTTTGTTTTGAAAGTTTGTCTAAATTAAAACAATTCATTTTACAGTCTTCCTTGGGGGGGGCAGAGGTTGATTTTCTTTGAAACAGGGTCTCACTGTGTAGTTCAGGCTGGCCTTGAACTCACTATATTGCTCAGTTTGGCCTCAGATTCACGGTAATCTTCCTGCCTCAGCCTCCTGAGTACTGGAATTATAGGCATGCGCCATCATGCCACCCTGCCTCGCTTTTACAGGGTTCCTTAAAAAAAATTCTAAGAAGCATGAGGAGATTAATTAAAATTCATCTGCTCTACAAAGTCTTGAGCCTGTTTTTTCAATCTATAATATGAGAGCATACCTCTTGGAGATAGTAAAAACAACCCAGGCTTTAGAAGCAGATGACTGTAAACTTATTAGTTGTATAATTTGGGGCAAGTTAATAAACCTTTCTGAGTCTCAGTTTGCTCTTGTACAAAATAAAACTACTACAAGGCCAATGTAACCATTATTTTTTATTATTACTACCCTTATTATTGCACGTACCAAAGAATGAACCACACTAAGATTTTAAAAGCATTTTGCAGATCCATGATCTCATCTAATTCTCACTTCCATCCTTTTAGGTATTATTATTACCCCTACTTTACAAATAAGGAAGCTCAAATTCAGAGAAAAGAAATGTCTTGTCAAGATCATGCGCTGGCACAGCAGAAGAGCCTATCCCTCCCTTGCAATAGGAGAAAGCAATTTTGGCTGAAGTGCTACACAGCTCTTATCTACCAGTATCTAATTCCTGTTCACAGCCTAGCAGGAAAAGCCCTCTGCCGTGTTTGTCCTGGCTAAGCCATTCTCTGGCTTTACTCTCTTAAAAAAGAAACTTAGTCAAGTGTTCTACTTGATAGAGTGTTTGATGACTTCTGAATGCTCAGAGTTTGAGGTTTCCTAAGTCTTAGTGAGGCTTAGGAAGCCCAGAGAAGGTCTCTTAGAGGCCAAAGAGTGATTAAGAAAGCAGATTCTGGAGAGGGGCAGACTGTTTTCTCACTAACTCGCCATGTGACCTTTATTTCACTTCACTTCTCAGAACCTGAGTTTCCTCTCCTAGGACACTACGTACCTCAGAGCACTTCTTATGAGGAGTCAATGAAATCCTGAACATAATCACCTCACAAGGTGTGGCACTACTAAGTCCTCGTTAAGGGATAACAATTAATGCCACATTAACATCGTAGTAACTGTTGCAGCCCCTTGAGTAAATCACTTATGTTCAGACATTTGGAATATGGTTGAAAATTAGGAGAAAGCAAAAAAATACCTCCAAGCAGCTAACATGGACTCCTAAGTCAAAGTTTATTAATTTATTCATCAAAGAGGACATCTCACTCTTTAGACACAATCCTTACAACCTAGAACATTTGTTTTGCCAAACCACAGCAAACAGAAAGGAGGTATAGGGATGGCAGTGAATGATTTCAAATTTAAGCACACGGACAACGGACAGCAGTAAAAAGAGTGAGCTGATAATTGGGGAACAGACAGGAGAACCATGAAGAAAATGAATGAGAACTTAAAACCCGGCAGTAGTTACTGGTGCAGGCAAAAGCTTTACATGCTTCTCTAACCCTAGGTGGCACCACTGTGTTACAGCAGGATGCAATCACTGAAAATTATGATGACATCCAGCCAACAACAAAGGTTAAATTATAGTCAGCACTGCTTATCTAACTAAGTGTTCTATTTTTAAATTGTTCCTTACTACTGGGAAGAAAGTGTTCAAATTGGAAGGGGTATGGGGGAAGGAGGGGAAAGAAAGAAAAAAAGTAAAATTAAAAGGAAAAAAATGGAAACAACGCTTTTGTACACTGGGAGAAGAGGGGACTTGAGAGGGAGAATGGGATAAAATAAAATAAAAATTATTGGAAAAAAAATAAATAAAATGTTCCTTACTAGGGATGGAACCCAGGGCCTCCCGCATGCTTTTAACCTATGAAAGGTAGGTTAAGCACTCTACCACTGAACTATATCTTCCCCCTTCCCCTTTTGCTTTGGTACTAGGGATTGAACCCAGGGCCTTGGCACTGAGCTACATCACCAGCCCCCAACACACTTATTTTGGTTACCAGGGACTGAACTCAGGACCTTGAGCTTGCCAGGTAGGCACTACACCACTGAGCTAAATCCCCAGCCCATCACCAGCCCTTTTTCATTTTAAGACAGGGTCTTGCTAAGTTTTTCAGGCTGGGCTTGAACTTGTGATCTCCTGCCTTAGCACACACAGGTGTGTGCAACCAAGCCCAGTATTGCTTATTTAAGAAAACAGTGGAAAAATTCATTAACATAATTTTGGGACATTAAAGATATGTTTCTATTCCTAGAAGAATCCCTTCATCCCCTAAAGATGTCAAAAAAGAACTTGTTGCATTTGTGAATGCTGAATCCAAAGCAAGATAATGCCGCCACTTTTTTTTCCCCCTTGAGACAGGGTCTTGCTATGTAGTTCAGGCTGGCCTCGAGCTCACTATGTAGCCCAGGCTGGCCTCAAATTAACATCAATCCTCCAGCCTCAGCCTCCCGAGTGCTTGTATTACAGGTGTGCACCACCTGCCTGCCCTGCCCCACATCCTTACTTGGCTGAGCCATAGAGCTCCCAGGCTTTGGCGATTCCCAAGGCCAGTCCCTTGCTGGGATTATTGGAGAGGATCTTGGCAGCTTCTTCAGTCCTACTCAGGACACTGAGAACGTGTCTGTTGGAAGGGAGATGGCTATTCAGTAACTGGATGGACCAGAAGAACCCCCTGCCCATCATGTCAGGGCTGCATAGAGGAACATCACTGAGAATCAGCTGAGCACTTAAAAGCATCTTGCCATCATACTCTTGAAAGACCTACTTTAGCTGGAACATGCTAGGCTGCCCTCACCTTGGTCCCTCATGTAAATATCCACAGAGGAGCCCTGAGACCCCTTTCCCTCACTCCACCCTACCCCAGCATGCAGGTGAGTGGCAGCCCCTTACTCTGGACTCCCAGGTGCCCACTGGAATCCTGCTACAGACTATCTGTAATAATAGCAATCTGGAGTATCCCTCCTGGCTAGAAATGGTGAGCCAGCCCTCATGTGGAAACTCCTTTATTCCTCTCTCTCTTTGATTTCAGAATTCCTTTCCTTCTCTCAGATGTGTCAAGTTCTTTTTCCCTACAGGCCTCTTGAAGATGCACTGCCCCTCCAACCACAACACTAAATGGCATAATAAAAGGGCAAGATTAGATAAGCCAGTAGGCCCTTTCTCTCCCTGACATACTAAAGATCTGGTTACAAGTGGAAACTATGCTGGGCATTGGGAAGTGAGGTGAGCACATGACCCAGAGCTCAGGAAGGCAGTCAGAGCTGCAGATCCCTGGCTCAGCCAGTGACTGCTGATCCATCAGGCTGAGCCCACAGCTGCCCAAGGAGCCCACCTATGCACAGCTGGAGTCCGGGAGGCAAGGCCCCCAAAACTGGCAGAAATAGTGTTGATTTCAATCTGTTTCAGAGCCGGAGATCCATCCACACTGCGCTGGAACATGTAGTCTGAGCGGTTCAGGCCCAGGAACACAGTCTGTGGGGAAAACAAGATTGAGGATATCTGCCCAGAGGCTGACTCTAAGGGCTAGCAACCCTCTAGAGCAGGCAGGTAACATGAGCTCCAGACAGAGATAAGAGACTAGCTGAGGATCCCAAACTCAGTAGGATCATTCTGATCATCTCAGGATTGGTGACTGAGATGGGCAGAATCAGGGAGACCACTGAGAGGTAACTCTCCATGAGATCAAGGCTGAGACACATACTTCTGGTAAAATGAAATCAAAACAAAATACCAGAGATGAGACAGGCAGGAGTCAGACAGGGAAGGGGCTGGGAATGGTTACCTGAGCAATGCCCTCTTTTAGGACTTGCTTGTAGATGTCAAAAAGATGGGCAGTAAAGTCATCCCTTTTGATGGTGCTGGAGGGGGAAACACAGAATGTTCGCCAGTGTACATAGGCCCTTAAAGGTTAAGGAGTCCCCCACCCTGTCAACTGATTTCTGAATCCTTGCTGGATCTAGTGGCAAAATATTAATTCCGATCTAATAAGAGAATAATATTTAAGAATCTAGATTTAGAACCAGGTGACCCGGGTTCCAGTCCCGGCTACTATCCACTGTTAGGCAACCTCAGAGAATCATTTCAGCTCTCTGTATATTAGTTTGCTCAACTATAAAATGAAGGGGAAAATAATTATACTTATATAGATTTGTGGTAAACAGTAAATGAGACACCTGCAAAGAACAGCACAGGTTCTTCTGGTCCCAAGAAGCCCAGAATGGCACATGATGTAACTATTCGATATTTGAACAACTCTGATAGTTGGTAAGCTTTCTCAGCGGCCTAACATTAACTTTCCATAGCTTTTCTTATACTCTGGTACCTCCTAGGACAAGTCTCCTCCTCTTCATCCTCCGAGTCCTCTGCTTTCTTCTCTCCTTTATAGATAGCCCCAGGGCAAAATAGCCCCACGGCACTTCAATAAGATTTTTTTAGACTCTGTAATCCCAGTACTGAGGAAGCTGAGGCAGGAGGATCGCTGTGAGTTCGAGATCAGCCTGGGCTACATAGTGAGTTCCAGGTCAGTCTCAACTACATAGTGAGACACTGTCTCAAAAAACCAAAAAATCAAGGAAAAAAAAAAAAAAAGATTTTTTAGACTCTAAATATCCCAGTTCTCTTCTTCAGTCGTCATATGATATGACTGCCAGAGAAGCCTTCCCTGTCTGGATCAGATCTCCATTCAGTGTTCTCACAGTTCTGTGGACCTCTTCTTTTTTTTTTGAGACAGGGTCTCCCTATGTAGTTCAGCCTGGCCTTGAACTCACGATGTAGCCCAGACTGGCCTTGAATTTGCAGTTGTGCTTCTGTCTCAGCTTGCAGAGTTCTGGGATTATATACACGTACCATTATGCTTGGAAGATGGACCTCTCTTTTATAGCAATGATTATAGTTGCAACTTTCCTTTTTATTTGTATGATGATTAGTGTCATTTCTAATGTTTGCCCATAAACTGCATGAAAGTGGGCCTGGGTCTGAGCAGTTGCATCATCGTATCTCAGTGTGCTGCTGTGACCTGTGACATGTGATAGGTATCCATCAAGTACAGTTTCCTGGAGCATCGGGAAAAGGAACAGTGAGGAGGAGTCCACAGGTCATTAACACCTCAGTTCTTGCTTCTCAAGATTCTGGGTGGACTCTGCACCCTGCCCAAGCCTGGCTCGTAGTCTCACCATTATAGGAACCCTGCAGCAGAGCAGCGATGGGAGCCAAGTAGCTCGGGCTTTCCCTGAAGTTCCTCTGCTGCCCACCAGCCCTCTCCCAAGGCTGAGCTCTCGGAGAGTATTTCCTAGCCCTTGGTGAGGACAGTTCCTAGGTCAGCTTCAGCCTCCAGGGAAACTGGGGCACATTTCTCCTTTTCTGACGAGATACTCTTCTTCAATCTCAAGTTCTTGGCTGCTGTTTTCCACATAACTGCATGGTTGGGATAAAAGTCGTAAGCCACACTGCTCATAGTTCCTACAATCCTGAATGGTAGGTACAAAGCCAGGCCCATTTCGAACAAGGCAGGGTTTATACGAACACTGGGTTTTTTACTCCAAGTCAATGGTTTCCAAACTTCTTGCAAGTATGATCCCTTCTCATTTCCACCCTCATGTCAGGATGCTTACTTGTTTCCTTTCTTTCTTCTCCCTTCCTCCCTCCCTTCCTTCCTTCCTTCCTTCCTTCCTTCCTTCCTTCCTTTCTTTCTTCTCTTTCTCTGTCTTTCTTCTCTGTCTTTTTCTCCCTCCCTTTCTTTCCTTCCTTCCTTTTTTCCAAGGTCTGGCTAAGTTGCTAAGTTTCCCGGGCTAGGCTAGAACTTGTGATCTTCTTGCCTCAGCACAGACCAACTTGCACAAGGGTACACATTTTTAAAAGATTTTTTTGGCTAAAAAAATCTACTTTTTGTGAAAAAGTTAATCAAAGACATATAAGTATATGTATAACATATATAAATATAATAGCATTTATATGCTTAGTTCTAAAATTAAAAAAACTTGTTTATTCTATATTCAGTTCTAAAATAAATGAAGAAATGTTACTTGTTCTAGGATCTGAAGGACAGAAAAAACAAAAGGATTTAGGCAGGGAGGGAGGAGTATTATTTCCTTGTGCCCTGGGTATGATGCAGTCTGCATCTTGAACTGCCTAAAGATAAAAGACTTGAGGAGAAAAGAGTGCTTAGGGGAAGATGTAGGAAATCTGACTTTAATGCCAATTCTCTCTTCTCTGTTTTCCTCTAAAACCTGTCTTACCTTCCCTAACTCCAAATGGAAATTTCAGTCTTCAAAACAAGGGTCGTAGGTAAGGAGGGTGCGAGAGTGTCACAGATCACAGAATCACAGAGTGTCATCCCTGAGAGGAACCTTAGATTTAAGCCAACCTCCCATTATTAGATGAAGAAATTGAGTGCCAGAAAATAAAAGGAACTTGCTTGAGGCCATATAATCAGGGAGGAGAACTTGAATTAGCAGCCAGCTTTCCTGACTCATATTCTACTGCTTGTTTCTCCAGTAGGGTACCTGACCTCCACCATACCAAGCCAGCAGGCACAGAAACACCTCACACTTCCCCCACAGTCTTCCAGTTCCTTACTTCTAGAAGCTCCTAGTCTCTGACGCCTCTTCACCCAGTACCTGGAGAGAGTTTGCTCCAGGAAGGCAGAGTTCTGGCTGACAGCATCCACTAGCACGTTGAAGTCCATCTGCACAGCATAGGCTTGCTCCAGCAGGGATCGGGGGACCAGCGAGGGGAAGAGTGTGAAAGGGGCATAGCTCACCACCTGGTCAATGAGAGAGTGGGGCAAGGGTAGAGCATCTGTGAATGGTCTAACAAAGACTGGTACACAGATCTGCCACATAATCCCATGATGACGATACTGTTATTATTCACACTTCAAAATAAAAGCACTTGAGTCAGGGCTTAAGCAGTAGGTCCAGAAATACATTCAGCCGTTAAGTGGTGCTAGCATTTGGGTCAGGACGGTTATTAACCATGCTCACAAAAGCTCCAGCTAGTTGATATTTGAACCAGGGCTCCTCATAGGCACTCACACACCCAGTCCCCAGTCTTCCAGCTAGGAGGGAAGGAGAGAATTGCTAGTAGGGCTGCAGTAGAAGTGAACTCTGGCTCCCTGAACAGAAGCCAAAACTGGTTAATAGGCCTGCAGTTCAGCTGCTCACTGGATTCCTTGGACTTTTTTTTTCAGTACTAGAGAATGAATCCAGGCCTTCACACTGAATTACACCTCCAGCCCTTTATTCTTTCTCATTTTGAGACAAGGTCTTGCTAAGTCAATAAGTTACTCAGACAGGGCTTGAACTTACATCCTCCTGCCTTGGCAGCCTGCCAGAGTGCTGGGATTACAGGCATGCACAACCACGCCAAGCTTCAATTCTTTGGACTTTGACATAGCCAAGAAACTCAAGTACCATCTAGGACAGTTTCTAGAAGGGGGAAATGAATATATTCTGAGATACCCAACAACAAATGAGTGAGAATTCGGGTCGAGATGATAAGAAGTCCTGTGACTTGACTTATGAAGAATCTCTGAGTTTAACATTTGTGTTAATATCAGTTTGCCATTATGGTGGTATAAGTTTATGGTGTTAAAACTTGGCATTTATAAGCCAGATGTGGTGGTGCACACCTGTAATCCTAGCACTAGGAGGCTGAGGAAGGAGGATCACTGTGAGTTCAAGACCAGCCTGAGTTACACTATAGTGATAGCCTGTCTCAAAAAACAAACAACAACAAAGTGCAACAGTGGCTGACACAAAGTAATAATAAATGATGGCTAAGATTATGCAGCACACTGCCTATAGAGCTGACATTTAATTTCGTGTTGTGACACATTCACAACTAGACCTGGAATTCCAGAGGTGCTGGCCTGATCCACCTCTGTTCTCAGTGCCCAGAGGGCGGCCAGGTAAAGATTTGAAATGAAATCATACATGTACATTTCCTATCTTTCTCCAATTGGAAATCTCTTTGAGAGATTTTGTGCCTATTGAGGCTCAGAAAGACCAAGTGTTGGAGCTTCATATAATATCTATTTATTAACAGGAGAAATAAAAGCTTGAGAGGGAAAATATTTCATATTGGATTCAAACAATTCGCAAGATGTAGGTTCACGACCCAGGCAATTCTATTCCCAAAGCCAGAGGCAGACCTTTCACCGAATCAACTGGCTTCATGTACATGGACCTCAGCAGATGCTTACTGAGTATGGACTCCCCACATGCTGGCCCTGTAGGGACCAATAATATGAAAGGTCTTAAAGCATACTGAGTTGTTTTTTTTTTTAAAGCAATTACGGAAGAACCTGTCTAATGTGCTTCTTTGTGTACACAGTGGAAAAGGGAACAGCTATTTACTTGTTGTGAATAAACTACCTGAAAAGATTAATAAGAATGCTAAAATACAAGCTGCCTCCAGGATGGAGGAATTAGGTATCAAGGAAATGTGGAAAGGAGGGTTAAAATGTAAACTCTTATAACTTTTAAATTTTGAACCACGAAAATGTTTTACCTAGTCACAAAAATTTTTCTTTTAAATGATGAGGGTTCTCCTCCTCCTTCTTTTGGAGATGAGGTCTTACTATGTTGGTCAGGCTGACCTCGATTTGTGGGCTCAAGTGATCCTCCTGCCTCAGCCTCTTGAATGTGGGGCCTATATTAACCTTCCACAGATCTGAAGAAAGTATAGCTGAGATGTTAAATAACTTGCCTAAATCACTCTTCAAACCCTAGATTTAAATTTGATCACTGCTGCTCTTTACATACTTTTAGAGATCAATTTTAGCCATGTAATAAAATAAAATTAAGCAAAAGAGTCATGCTCTAAACCAACAGAGCTGCTCCCAGCCTGTCAGGGGCCACACAGTGGGCAGTAGGATCTGAGAAGTGTGGTCAGTGCTGTGGGGAGGGAGGGGCTTACATCTGAGGAGCTGGGTTCCCTCGAAGTCCTCAGCAACACTCCCTCAGCCAAGGCCCGATCCCTGGCCTGCAAAGCCAGCTCCTCCAGCAGATGCTCATCCTGCAAGAGGCTCTCCCAGTGGGTGGCCATGTCACCTGTGAAAGACAAGAAAGTTTGGTGACAGATGGCCAGGGGCGCAGCGCCACTGAACCTGGCTGGTGGCCACAGTGACCAAGTCCCACAAAAAGACACTGTAGTACAGGAAATGAACAGTGACCAAGTCCCACGAAAAGACACTGTAGTATAGGAAATGAACACTGCCCAGTCCCACTGAATCCCAGCTCTTAACTTCCATGTACACAGACAGTCAGAGCCTTCCCAAGGTACAACAGTGGCATCATTATCATTGTAACAAACAGAGTCTCAGAGAAGTGAAATGACTTGCCCTAAGTAATGACTGGAGAAGCCTGGACTTTGACTCAGGTACGAACCCAATACTTTTCATTGAAAAGAGGCTGCAGAAACAAAGGTGATGGAGTACATCAATGATTTCCTATCGTAACTGAACATTCCGGGTTGCCTGGGAAAATACAGATTCCTGGGCCCCACCTCAGCAGTTCTGATTAAAGGGGTCTTAAAGGAGGGTCTGACGATTAGTATTTTAAACAAATTTTATAGGATAGGAACAAATTGAATAGATTTTTAACTTCCCTTCTCACTCCAGCAATTCATGTTAGCAGAGCTCAAATAAACTTCAGAGGAGGCAGAGAAGGAGCCCTACAGATAAGGTGGACTCCTTCCCCGTGCTAAGCAGGAACAAACTTACAAGCAGTAAATGATTACATTCTATATATGGGTGTCTATCAGCAAGGCAGCAAAAGACAGCAAATTTTTTACATTTTACTTTATTTATTTTTGATACTGGGGCTCGAACTCTGGAGCTCGCATTTGCATAGCAGGTGACAGAATTACTGAGCTAAATCCCAGGCCCGACAGCAAATATTTTTGAGAAATCACCTTAGTAGGATAGAAATAGTGAAACCCAAACTCACTGTAATAGAAGGATGAGTCTGACTGGCTGCCCAGAGACACACAGAGATGCACCAATTCACACCTTGCTACTCACTTGCTTTATATTTATAGCAGGCTGCAGGGTTTTAAGAAGATGTGAATAAAAATCTGAGAACACTAATCATTAATTTTGTTCTGCCCTATTCTCATTTAATTTTAAGGACAGAACATGGCTGTCCAAATCAATGGTCTCTAGGAAGTTAGTGAGTGAGAGAAATCTCCATCACATTCAGCTCTTCCCCCTCTCCTCATAACAGAGCTGGTATTAGACCAATTATGTGAGTCTGCCTGCCTCAGCACAATGTTTTAAATGAATGAGCAGTGTTGTCAAAAGGATCCTGACAACAACCCTATCAGGTTAGAGATAGATAGTTATAGTAAAGAAGGCTTTGGAGTCAGACAGATCCGAGTTTAAGCCCATAATATTACTTCTAAGTAAGGTCAAAGTGTGTATTAAATGAGAAAAACCTGTGACAAGTGTCTCAGCATGTTTCGAGTGTATTAGTCCATTTTCTTTTATTATAATGAAATATCTGAGTCTGGATAACTTCATAAAGAAGAGCTTTATTTAGCTCAAAGTTTTGGAGTTTCAAGGACAAGGACCTTATGGCAGATGGCACTACAATGGTGGGAATGTGAGAGGGAGCCAGGGAAAGTGAGTTAGGTCAGGCTCATTCTTATAACTAACTAAGGGTCTCACAGGACCTATCTTAATCCCTTTCAACTGGCAGCTCTCTCAATGATCTAAGGATCTCCCACTAGGTCCTCTTTTTAAAAAATTTTTTTTGTACCAGGGACCAAACTCAGGATCGTGTGCTTGCTGTGCCACTGAGATAAATACTGGCCCTCAGTCCTAACTCAAAGGTCTCACCACCTCCCAACATCACCACACTGGAGACCAAGCCTCAAACACATGAACCCTTGAGGGGTGTGCTCACACCATGTCTAAGCCACAGCAGACTTTATATATATAAGCTTCTGGGAGGGGGGCGCTAGACTCACTTTACAGGTGGAAGGAAACGTCAGCGGTCACACAGCAGCCTGGTGGCACAGCCACAACTAAAAACCCATGACATTGACATTAGAACAGTGGGACCCTTTATTAACCCTCATCTTTCCACAATTCTGAGTTTCCAACATCTATATGTTGCTGGACTTTTGTGGGCATAGACTGACTTGCATTTAATAACAGAACCTTGACTAGGTAGTGGGAACACAGAAGATAAGACATAAAAATAAACACTATGTAAAGTGCTAACTGGGCCCTTTGTTTTTCTCATTCTATAGTCTCAGCTCTTCTTGCGGTTTTGTTTCTGTTTTGCTGATGACACTCAAATCTTCACAGCAGTACTTTCCTGATCTTCAAAATAGAATATCCAACTGCTTCCATGAAAGAATCTGTTTGTTGTCTCCCCCAAAATCTGCTTCTCCTTTGATGAACCTCACTCTGGCCTCCTGTGTACTTCTTTCCTACACCTCATTCTCCAATCTTGTGGACTCAGTTGCCTAAATACATAGCTTTGAATCCTTTTCGTCTGTCTGCACAGTTAGCAGGAAAGCCCTTCCCTCCTAATTTCTTCTTTGCGCACTACACTGATTGAGCAAAGCATCTTTAGGGACATAAACACATCAGCCTCCCTTCCTCTTCCAGGTCTTTGCAGATGTTTTCCCTTTGGGATACTCCTCACTACTCCTGACTTAGTTTTGAAAGTCGTCCCTGTTCTCTACCCAGAGCTTCTATAGTCCATTTTTTTTCCCAATGTCACTGGGATAGCACTTGTCTTGGTCACTTCCCTACCTAGTATCAGCGCCTAGTATGTATTCAATGAACGTTAAGTAAATGAATAAATCACCAAAAGCTTAAGACGCCTACAAGGTAATTCGGTCGGACTTTACCCTGAGGGCGAGGACAGCGCCTGCCCAGGGCGAGGGGCAAATGCCTTGGCTTGCCCACCTGACCGACCAATCATTCATCTTGAACAAAGTTTGGTCCTAATCTCTCCCACTGTGTTTCAGGGTTTGGATTTTTCCCCCCTTTCCTTTCTTTTAGTTCTGACTTTAGTCTCACTGGCACTGTATCCCTAGCACCAGCCCTATCTGGAGGCAGGAGATCTGGAAAATCTAGAATCAACACGCGCCAGCCCAACCCCCTCACCGGACACGTTTCCCTGTGACGTGTTTCAGCTACAAGATCTCCGGGTCTCCAGCTTTCCAATTACTCCTCAGATCCCTCCCTCACGTCTTTCCTCGCGAGGAAATGTGACCCTTCCCAGCCGCCGTCGCCGAGCACCAACCTACACTTTTGTAGTCCGGCCGCTCACCGCACTCAGGACCTGGGAGCCGTCACCCACACTCAGGGAGCGGGGCCTCGGGACGCCCCAGTGCGCTTGCGCAGACCGTCCACAGTGTTTTAAAGAGAAGGGCGGGGGATACAGACCAGGGACTGTGGAGCTGGACGGCGGCCGGGAAAGGGCAGTCCGTGTGAGAGCCACTTTGGCTTTAGGGGTGGGTCGTTGCACTCAGAAATATCCGGCCTTGGGAAGCACGGGAGGAGCCATGCTGGGTCGGCAGAAGTGCCGCGGGTGTGTTTAGTTCATTCATACAGCGTGAGAGTTAGTGATTTCTCCTGTAAGATAGGGAAATTTAATGCTCCGATTGGGACAGTCACAACCTCAGGGACACAATTAATAGGGGAAGGGGTAGGCCCAGAGATGGAACGAGACTGGCACAGAGTTGCATAGCATATTAGGAGCTGAGCCAGTGTTGGAACTCGGGCTCTTAGCCCTATCACGACCGAGAAAAAAGCCCACCTGGTATTTCTCACCTAAGACAGCAACAGAAAAAGCCTTTAGGGCAAAATGAAAGCATTTTCAATTTTCCAGAAATTTGGAATTCAGAACTGTCTGACAGTAACCCAATGTTTTTCATACTCTTCTGTACGTACCACTTGCAACGGGATCTGGACCAGGTTTTTTGTTTGTTTGGTTGGTTTTTTTAAAGATTCACGATCCTACCTCCACCTCATCCCTTGGCAGCAGCAAATTCCTTAACCGTTTCAATCTGAAGCACTTGATAAGAACGTTAGTAAATTTGAAATGTATCGGTTCAAGCCCCAGGGAATTAGCCATAGGTAAAATTTAGTGGCTTTCAATCTGATTAAGAAAGTAGACAGGCTGGGTGTGGTGGGTGAGACCTGTAAGCCCAGCTCTTGGGAGGCCGAGGCAGAGGATTGCTGTGAGTTCGAGGCTAACCTGGGCTGCATAGTGAGTTCAAGACCAGTCTGAACTACATAGCAAGACCTTGTTTAAAAAACAAAAAAAACAACAAAATAGTAAATAGTACTTTTCTGAAGGATTTAGGGAGGGCTTTCTGGATCTTGAAGGGTGGATAGGAATGCGTCAGTGGTGAAGGAAATAGGCAGAGGTGTGAGGTAGAATTCTCCAAGTGGCAGGACCAAAAGCAGCAAAGGCATATAATTCTTAGTGTTTTGGGGATTGTTTTTATTTTACAGATAATGAGGAGTTGGTTTAGGAAGACCTTGGGTGCAGAGCAGGATATTAGTGCAATTTTGGAGAAGTACCCATGGATATCAGGTCAAGGAGTTTGGTGGTTATTCGGTGGGCAAAGGGACTGGTAAGGGTTTTAAGCAGGGAAGAAGATGCATTCAGTTTTGAGTTTTAGGTGCTAATTATAGTGTGACAAATAATTTGAAAATGAGGAGTCGAGGGCCAAAGAGATCGGAGATAGTTAAGATGTAAAATGATAAGGCTGAGCTAACCAGTGGCTGTGGAGATGGAAAAAAAGGGACTACATATTAAAGAAAGCTTTAGAAGGGAGAATTGCAACTGATTATAAATTAGTGGCTCAACCCAGAAATCAAGAGCCTTTCAGTTTCTTAGATAAAGCATTCTGAGGGCAGACTGAGTCTCCTAATCCTCTTGTGTGGATGGAGACAGTCTAGTTATTGCCAGAACAGTGTTTGCTGATGTCTTTTCCTTGTGTTCTTCTGCACCTGGCTGGGATATAAAGCAGCAGTTACTAGAATAAGTCCCAGGTAGCAGAAGAAGGTCACTGTATTAACCAGGAACAAAGAAAGCTATTTCTGGAGCAGCAAGAAATTAAAAATCAGAACACATGACCCAGAGCTCTCTGTACAGGTTCCTCTCTTTGAAAATGGGTGCCCAGTGACACATGTCAGGTGTCTTTTGGAGAGATTTGAGGAGGATCCCAGAACTTAACAGCTCTCTGGTAAATCCCCTCACTTCATGTTCAGGTAAGATGGTTTCCTTCCCGTTTTGGAGGTGTGGTAACTCAGAAGTTACGTGGCTTGTTCATGATGACTCAATTTGAGGTTGGATTGGGTCTTTTAACAAGGCTTTGCCTTTCCTGCTTCTTTCCCTGGATGCTTTACCCCTAAATCCTGGCATGGCTGCCTCTCTGTTGTTAAGGGGTTCCCCGCTAGATGCCTTCAATCTGTATTACACTATGTTGTGACTTTCTTAGTACCTGAAAATTATTACTTTTATTTGACTCGATTCATTCTACTGGAATGTAAGCTCTATCAAAACAGAGCCAGTCTGTCTGGCTCACCACTTTACCCCCAGCACCCGGAATAGTGCCTCCTACCGAGTAGATGCTCAATAATATTTGCTGAATGGTGGAAGCAGGTTGAGGAGGGAAGTTGAGAGTGGAAACTGATGCTTAGTGAAAGTTTAGGATATTTCAGGTACTTTCCACAGATCACCTCACTTGTTCCCTTCACAGCCTTCCAAGGTAGGTACTAGGTGGATACAACTCATGCTAAGAAGGATAAGTCAGTGTTACTTTTGAGACAGACTCTTTTGAGAATCTCCATTAGACCCAAACTTTTGCATATATGGTGTGGAGGAATTCACAGGCCTACTGAGGGATTTCAGATCAAGAAAACCAGAATGAGGGGCCTTGTCCAAGGTCTTTATGGTCCCAAACTTTTGCTGGTTTCTTACTCTACAGAAAGGACAGATTCCATTTAGTGTACTGCAGGGAACCTGCTGAAGAGTCTGGAGCAGAGGGAAATGAGGGAAATGAAGGCACTGAGCCTTTGCTCTCACAGGCCTGGGTTGAAATCCTGAATCCACAGCCTAGCTATGTGACTATGAGCAACTCATCTCACCTCTCTGAACCCCACTTGATCTCAATTCCAAAATGGAATCTGTCTTTTCCAAATAACAATTACTCTTTATTGATCTGATCAGTAGGTGCCAAGTACTTGGCTAATAATTGTAGTTATTGCATCACTTTTACCACAACCCTACGAGGTGATATTGTTACTATGGTCTCCATTTTACAGCTGGGGAAGTGGAAGTTTGAAGCGGTGTCCTGACATGTCAGAGATTGCATAGCTTGACACTGTTAGTCCTTGTGCTCCCCCAGATGTGTCATAAGCTCAGGCTTCACAAAGCCCACTGTTGAAATCCATTGCAGTGTCTGTTCTAGGGTTTGGGAGAACATTTGAGTATGAATTAGGTAGAAAGAAAAAAGAAGTCAATCAGGGCTGCACTGCAGTGTGACTGGAAACTGGTCCCTTAATGTACCTGGCCTTTCTTTGCCCCTGTGAGGGTCTCTCTCCACATCTGGCCTAGGCCTTTTGATTGGAACATCTCTTCTGGTACAAGGGTCTGCATCAAATGTGGTGTACATCTGTGCACATGGCTGTTCTCTTTTTAGCAGTGACATCATTCTGCCTGGCAGCGTGGTTTATGAAGCTATCTCCCCACATGGCTGTGGGCCACAGCTTTGGCCATTCAGAGTAGAATTTCTCTGTCTTCCCACCCCTAGCAGGGGCCTGGCCCAGCGTTGCTGCTCAGGAAATACTTGTGGAATTAAAGTGAGGACTGTCCCATGTGTTGAGGATTTACCATGTGCCAGGCCTGTCCCTGACACTTTATATGTGCTGTGTCATTTATATTCCTGCAGTAATCCTGGGAGGGAGAAGTTACCATGCTTGTTTTACTGAGAAGAAGCAGACTAGAGAAGTTGAGCTTTGCTTCAGGCCCACTTGCAGTGGCTGATGGCACCAGAACTGGTTCTAGGGCCTGAGCTCTCATCTTGCATGATGAACTCTTAGGGGGTTGTTGGCTGACAAGGGAAGACACACCTCTAGGTGTAAGATCCTCAGAGACCTTCTACTGACAAACTTCTAGTCCACTTCTCATTTTATCCATGGGCAAAGAGAAGCCCAGAGAGCAGAGATGACTTTCTGATAGTCTCTTTTTTTCCACTTTTCATTTACTTTTGGGCAGGATAGGATCTGGTTTTACTCATCATTATACCACCCAGATGGTCCAGTGCTTGATGCAGATCAGTACTCAGTAAACACATTTAAATTTTATTTATTTTGAAAACATTGAGAAAGATAAAAAGGTTAATGTAACAAATACATACCTACTATACAGCTTGCAAAAGAAAACATTGCAAAAGAAAATAGTAGTCACCTCATCCTTGAGGGGATACATTCCAGGACTCATCAGATGCTTAAAACCACAGATAGTACTAAACCATACATGGGATGTCTTAATAAAAGTTTAATTTATAAATTAGGCACAGTAAGAAATTTTTTTGGAGTATGAGTTTAAATTTTTCTTTTTATTTCTGGGAATTTATCTCGGCAGTGCCATTGCCTGACTCTCACAAGCACAAGGACCCAAGTTTGATCCCTGATTAGCAAAAAAAAAAAAAAAAAAAAAAAAAAAAAAAAAATAAAAAAAAAAGAAATATTAAAAAATTATTAGTATATGTTTGCAGTACGTAATAATTACATTCATTGAGGGGAGTGAGGAGTAGGTTCATGTCCATAACATATCTTAATTCTTTTTATTCCCCTTGCCCTCGCCTTGCTCCCTCCTCCCTCCAATGCTAGATTCTCTTTCTATTTGCAGAATACCTATTACCCCTGTTTTCTGTTGTCTGTCTTTTATTTTGCTCTTTAAATTATTTATACTTTGGATTTTTCATGGAAAAGTTATGCAACATTGAAGTTTGTGTCTAATTTATTTCACTTAACATTATGGTCTTAAGGTGTATCTATTTTTCTACAAATGACTCAAATTTATCCTTATTTATGGCAGAGTACTACTTCATTGTGTATAGTACCATATTTTCTTTATCAGCTCATCTGTTGGTGGACATATGGGCTGCTCCCTATAGGCTAGTTATTATGAGCTGTGCTTCTCATGGGTATGCATGGGTCACTGTAGTATTATTTCTTTGCCTCTTTTGAGAAGATCCCTAGAAGGGGAATAGCTGTGTCAAATAGAATTTTTTTTTTTTGAGACAGGGTCTCACTATGTAGTTGAGACTGACCTGGAACTCACTATGTAGTCCAGGCTGGTCTCGAACTCACAGCGATCCTCCTGCCTCAG